AGGGAGAAATTCTAGCTTGTAGTATATACTTTAAAGTAGTTTAATACCTCACCTCTTATAATAAAGGCAGGATTGCCTAAAAAAAAAAAAAAAAAAAAAAATAAAGCACGCCATTTCGCATTTTAAAAAAAAAAAAAAAAATAAAAAAAAATTTTTTATTTTAATTCTATATAATTATAAAAAAATTTTATAATTTTAAAAAAAACTTACTAAAAAAATTGTTTGGTTTTTATTAATATCTCTTTATATATATGGTTTATTTAATATATATGTACACCTGCATAGCTATGCACCTTATATTTTTTAAAATTTTACTAGAGTAGCTCTGTTGTATTCTTAAAATTTTACTAAGATAACTTCTGTTGTATTCTTAATAAAAAATGCACTTTTCACGAAGTTACTTTAGATTTTAATTAAAAATTAATCCTAACCCTAACTCTAACCTAACTTTCTCTAACCTTTTAAAATTCTAACTCTGACCCTAATTCTAACCCTAATCATAATTATTCATAATTAATGGTTTTTTGGTACGGTTAGACTATTGACCCGGATATAGCACCTTATCTTGCAGCGCATAATCTTAGAGCCCGAATATTAAATAATAGTGAAATTAGTGAAGAAGCAACTTCATCAATTTTTACAGTGTCAGAAAAATATGCGCCTCTTATAGAAGATATAAAGTTTAAGGTTGGAAATGGAACATATGTTGATGATGGACGAGTATATATTCGTTGGGTTAATGATATCGTAAGATGGGGCATGTTTGCTGGTCGTTCTTTCCAGCCAAAAGACCTTCTAGGGGTCTATACTGGTGTGTATACGTTTATATTTCTACTAACTAAAAAATAAAAAATACTAAGTTTTGCAAATTTTAACTAACAGGGTTATTAACGCGTCATCTTTATGATGTTGAGTATGGTACGTTAAGAAGTTCATGTACTATATATAAAAACCTTATTTTACTTATTAAACTCATATAATTACCCAAATATATAGCTTGGGAATTCAATTATCTTGTGGATGTTTTAGATGAAAATAATGAAAAAGTGAGGGTTTGTATTGATGGTAAATTTATGGGAAATTATATGCGATTTGCCAATCATCGTGACAGTAAATATTATTCTTTAATTGATATATTATCGTTATTAAAAGTATAATCTAAGCTCAATTTCTTAATTTTGAATAGCAAACCATAATGGTGACCAACTTTATGCGATTTATGATGATCTTTGGTTGGTGCTCTATATAGCACAGGATGAAATTAAGGTGAATTTTAATTCTCATTTATTCTGATAAAACTACTTATAGTTCACATTACTAAATCCTGATATATTATATATATATATATAGCCCCACGAACAAATATTCGTTAATTACGGTCAAGCATACTGGGAAAACAAACAAAAATATGAATTTGATTAACTTTAGTTTAAATAAAACCTATTATGAATTTATAAATATAAATAGTAATGCATACAAAAACTATTGATAAAATTCAATTCATAGATGAGATTAATGCAAACAAACTAGATTATTAGTACTTCAAAAGTAATTTATGCACCTTTATACTTATATTTTAATTTTTCTAGACCATTTATATCTTGTTCTGAATCTCTGATGATATACAAAGCAATTATATCTACGATGAGCAATCCAAGTGGTATTCCCCACCACAATTGTTCCATTCGATCCGTACCAATTGCCATAATTGTAGAAACGAGTGATAGAAAAATTCCGCAATATAGATGAACGACTGTAACAATTTGTGATTGTAAAATATATATCGAAAATAATAAAGAACCAATTGATAGTATTGTTGATATCATTGGATATGGTGTATGGGAATAAATCTTTTCAGAAGTAGGTAGGGGTATTGACGGAGAGATCGAATTTTTCATCAATCCATAAAAGAAAAATAAGTACCTATTAAATTGATTAAAAGGAATTATAATTTGAATGCGAAAGAATTAAATATGGATAACATATAGATTGTAATATTTTGCTTACAGTATCATAATCGATAATGAAAAGAACACCAGTACTTTCTAATTATTGTTTTAAATACAAAAAACGGCCTAAGCAAAAAAACAGAACTGATATTGTACAATAATCGATCTTATATAAAAAAAAAACCTTGAAAAAATTATTGGCTCGGTCATTTTTTGTACGAAATTCCTCAATTAAATTCTCTTGCTCTATGATTAAGAAATGGAAATGAATCCAGGCATATAAATAAAAATAAAGGGAAAGTCAATTATGCAGTAGAAGTATGTATAATTAAACCTACCATGTTCGTCTAAAATTTCGGCCTGATCTTTCTCTTGTGATTCAGTAACTTGATGCCTATGTTTTAGAATATTCATACTTGTGAAAATTATTTTCTCAATTAACAATTTATTGGCGATGTCATACCATTAAAACCCGGTGCTACGCACCGGGTTAAAGACTAGTTATATATATATATAGATTTATTAATTTTGTACACCCTGCTAGTGTTTTGAACCGTCAACCGAAAGTTCAACCGGGGCTGATCCGGGTAGACTTCCGGGTATTCCCAGCCAATCGC